TAGATTTCAAGAGGATTTCTGCAATGTGGCTTTTTGACATTCCAAATGCCTTAGTGATTGATCACTCATTCATATTCTTGAACATCTTCACTATCTTCATCTTCGTTTCTTTGGAAATGTTTTCCATAATTTCAAGTAATGAAAGAATGCCGGAATTTGATGTCAAAATTTACCTTATAAGTAGGAAAGAATAAGTCCTGTTCCATAAAAAAATGCCTTTTAGCAGCAAAAAAGGAAAGAGAAAATAAAAAGGTTCAAGTTAACAAAAAATTTTGCATGGCTATTTTTGGGTGTCATCTTCCATCTTCCATAAGTAATGTTGGAGACAATTATTTTCAACCATAAAATTATAGGTTCCCTTAGTGGTGATGATATTGTCAACATAAATGCAGACAATTATTCTATGTAGAACCTTTTTTTTAAGCTAAAGAATATATTCTTGCTACAAGCAAATATCTTGACTATTACTGCCCCAAAATGTAAGTAAGCTTAGTACTATAAGAAATAAAATGTCCATCATAGTTTTATAAAGAATTTTTTGGCTTATGACAATGAATTTGAAAAATTCTTGGCCTGACCAGGAAGGAATTCAAAAGAAAATTCCACTCTTTGGTCATTTGATTAAATTTTGGGGAGTAAATGTAGCTGAGAACTTTTAGGTACCCCATTGTAATTGTTAAAACAAAACCCAATAAAGAAGTAAATTTCTGCTTGATTGTTTGAAATAAACTGATCCTATAAAATTAAAGTTCTATATTTATGGGATAAAGTGCTCAACATCAGAGATAGAATGTGTGTAAATATAAAAGTGAACACTGAAGTCAGCACTTAGAGGCGATAAGCAGTTTCATGTTAGATGCAATCATCAGGACACCTGACGATTGCGTCTAGCATGAAACAGCCTGTCACCTCTTAGTGTTGACTTCAATGTTCACTTTTATATATATATATATATATATATATATATATATATATATATATATATATACACATATATGTCTGTGTGGGGGGAACAGAATTAGAGAAAACATGTTAAAAACCTTTTAGCTTAAAAATACAAAAAGTTTTTTTTTTTTTTTTTTAATTAATATTGGGATTGCAATCAGTAGTCCCAAAACTCATTAAGGTCATATATATTGCAGCTGTAGCGGGTAAATCTGATTCTTGGCAAACATAGCCTGACAGGGCCTATCTCCCTCTAGGCTGGTTTGAATTTAGTTTTACTTCTCCTGGACTGGTTGTCAACCAAGGCTATAGGTCCCAATCTGTCCTGCTATTTATCCATAGCTTGGAGAAGAAGCAATGGATTCATGCCTTTCCTGAAGATATTTATACATAAGTGAATATAATGAACTTGACTGGAATTTGAACTCAGCTCTCCAATTTCTTATTCAGAGTTGTTGTCCTCTCATTGTCATTGTTAACCTCTTTAATTTTTCTTGCAAAATATTTTCTAAGTCAGATAATTATAAATTCTAGTTTTATGTATCATGTCTTTGCAAGACTTGGACGACCATGGCTCTCCATAAGTTCTTGTCATTTGTTACTCTAAGTAACTTTTGCCCCTTTACTACTCACCACTTTATCCCTTGGTAAATTTTAAATTCCCCAAAACACTATTTCCCTATTATTTTTTCCAGAATAATTTCAGATGTTTTCTCTTTTTAAGTTTACTTAACCTTTATCACTCTGTACTTGACTTCATTTTCTACATAAAATTTTTATCCTGCCACTGAAGGTGGGTCTGATACTTAAACAATAGTGTGTATGAATTTCATAGTTGTGTTGTCATATCCTGCTATGGCAACAGAAAACAACTTTGAGTGAAATAACAATAAGGATACTGAAATTGAGAGGCCTTAAAAAAGAATGCAGTTCAAAGAGAAGGAATATTAATAATGCAGTGTGCTGGAGGTTAAAACTTCCTCATTGCTCACATGTTCTGTCTATGATATTCTCAGCATTCTTGGTATCTTTCCTCATCATATGTCCTATAAATTTCAGTTTTTTTCTGTTTCCTTTTAATTCCTATTTTATTTGAACATTCTTCATTGCTAACATGTTTAGTTCATGAGATTCCTACCATTTGTTGTTGCTTCAAGTCTTTTATTTATCTGTGAAGAGATTGTCCAACAGTAACTGCCATATAGGAGATTAGATATTGCACAGCAGTTCAGCACTTATTCTTTTATTTGTAATATTCTACTAAATTTCTGGAAGGGATCTTTCACTATTCTTATACCCTTTGTGAGTTTTGTGTCAAATATTCTGTCATCTGTTAAAGACACTACTTAATTAAATTTCTGTATGTGCTTCCTTTTGAAGTCCCCACTATATAGCTCAAACCTTTAGCTGTTTCTTTTACTGACAACCATGTATTCTGTCTTCTTACAGTTAATAATTAGTCCTTGCCTTCCTTTACAACCTTGTCTAAAACTTCTTTGCAAGCATATTATCAAAACAGCTTATTCTGTGGATTCTATATCATTAAGATTATGTTTGCCAGTAATAAATCCTGGTAGGCTTTCTAGTTCTCATAGGATCATCTCACAAAACCAGTTCCCTTTTCGATATAAGGACATGTTGTCTCATATAGAAACAGAGATAGAACTGCCAATGCCTGTGAAGGTATTGCCCTTAAGGACCACTGGCATCTTCAACAATAAACCATAAGTTCCTAGATATTTTAACAAAATGACAATTAACATATTTGAAGCAGAATCAAAACAAAACCTTTGGTCTCAGAAAAATATTTTCTTTGCAAGCATTTTATCCTCCTGTTTACAAAACACTCTCCAATTAACTTTAAATCTAGATATTCTATTATTAAGTGGGAGAAATTAGATTAATTAATAATTAGATTACAAATATTTAAAGAATACCCATTAACCTTGACCATGTTTTACGAACCAATAAAGTTTTTACATTAATCTACATAAGTTCTTATGCAAGGGTTTATTGAGTGTTCAGAATTTCACAACAGATTAAGAAAAGTGGAAGATAACAATTCTATAACAAATGACCAGTTGAAGAGAACTTGCAATAGAAGAAATAATTTGATGATTTAGCAACATAAATTTAAAAATGATGAGATTTTTTGTCAATTTAGACACAGATAGAAACAAAAACCATGAAAAAAATAAAAACTTGGGACCACGAGGCATTTTGAAAACAATAAATTGTTTTCATACATTAGAATGCTTTTCAAAAATTTAAAAAACTAATTACTCTATAATATTCTATAACAAATGACAATTGATGTAGTTTTTGTTTTTTAAGAGTCAAATGTTTTTGGTAATATCTGTTTAAAAAAATATTTAATTTATATGGTATTTTACTCACAAAATTTATTTTTATACATTCTCAACTCCAGTTTGAATCAGCTGGGTATATATTTCTAGACATTTAAGAGGTGATTTCGGGAGGAGGTGATTTGGAAAATTGAAAAAAGAATTTTTTTTTCAACTTTTAGTTTAACATCATTTAATTTTTAAATAAAAAAAATTCTAAATCCAGTGTGACTTTGTAGAAAAATTTAAAAAATTGTTAATGCAATAGAATTATTCTTTATTTTGATTGAATGTTTTCTGAGATGAGGAATTATCATTATTTACATAAAGACTATCCATGATGTTGCTTGTAAAAATTTTCTTACTACAGGGTTTGGCTCATTCCAATAGTTTTCAGTTCTTTTAAGTTCAACATCATTTAATTTGGAAAATATTCAGGTTAATCAATTACATCTGAATCAATGGAAAAAACATTAAGATCAAAGATGACAATATTTTCAGTGTAAATAAAGAATGAAACTATATTTTAAATTGAAGAAAACCTTGGTATAATGCTGTGATGATGACCCTTTTAAAGGAATGAACCTCAGTGGATATTTTTCCCTTGATAACAATTGAGCTTAGTAAATATCTAGATTTAAAGTTCCAAAACAAATCATTTTTGGGGTAGAATTTTAGCATTTAAAACATCATTTTCTTATTTTTGTTTTCATCTAGTTCTTAACAGATCAATTGGAATTGTTTTCAACTAACAAAACAGCAAAAAAACCCAAATGATTGAATGTTTTCATAAATAAAAAAAAAAAAAACAATCATTTAAATTCTTAATCATTCTATCATCCAAGATCTGACACGTCACATACATTAAAAACTAAAAATTGAAACTTTATGGAACTGACTCCCAAGAGGATGTTCTCTCCATCACTACAATCTTAACCTTTATCTTCCCAACATATACCCTATAAACTGTGCCTCTTACTTTGTTACCTTCTACCTTGAGTGGCTCCTGGACCTTGTACAAGGGGAACATCATTGTAAAAAAAAAAAAAAAAAAAAGCAAATGTGATATTTCTTAAAATTTTAAGTTGTGATGACATCACATCAGGAATACAAATTGAGAAACTTAAAAACAAATGATTCTTTCTTGAAATAAGAGTTAAAAATACTTTTTGAATAAAACAATTTAATTCCATTAAGAGAAAAATCAAAACAATATAAAAAAAGAATAAATAAAAGGAAAGAAATAAGCAAACCAAAACCAGAGTCAAAAATATCCCCTGATTATCTTAGATTATTGGGCAAATAGTCTCCATCAGAGATAATCCCCTACTTATGGGAATGCGGATATGAAGGAATTATCATTTTCCCTCCACTACTTTAACCGTCCACAGAATGAGCATGTTCGTCTTGGGAATCTTTTATTGAAATGTTTCCGAATATATTGAGCTCAACTTTACAGCCACTTCAGCTGCCTTCTTGGCCATCCACCATCCCAACCTCACCCTTAGTAACTTATCTCTAATATTACTTTGCCAGATTTTCTTTAAATTACAGACTAAATCCCCTAAATTTTCTGCAAAATCCACCAGTCAAATGAAATTCAATGATGGCTTCTGAGTTGTAATGTCTTTGTGCCAAAAATAAAAATAATTTGAAATAATTCGGTGAAATCTGCAAATAAGATGTACGACAACCGGATAAACTTTGTTTATGGCTTTATTTGAGTTGAAACTTGTTGACATCCAGCAACTTCTGTCTTTCTCTCTTCTTAGGTATGGATTCTATAAATTCTTCACTTCTTGGAGATTGCTTATAATTTGTTTCTTTGGCTACCAATGAATAATTGTTATGCTCTTCAATTGACAATCTTAGAATTCTTGATATTCAGAAAGGCAAAACTTTTTTCTTGTCTGAGAATTTCTTAAACCATAATGCATTACTCTTTTAAAATCACTTCACATCAGTTTTTGAATGGCAAAATTATTCAATAAAAATATGTAAAAAATTCTAAAGAAACTCTTTTATATTTTGATAGATAGTTGTATCAATATAATTAAATAGTAGAGTAATATTATATATATATATATATATATATATATATATATATATATATATATATATAAGTGAACATTGAAGTCAACACTCAGAGGCAACAGGCTGTTTTCATGCTAGACGTAATCGTCAGGGTGGCCTGACGATTGTGTCTAGCATGAAACAGCCTGTCACTTATATATTTATATTTGCATATGCTCTATCTCTGATATTGAGCACTTTATCCCATAAATATAGCACATAGCTATATTTCTTCCAAAAAATGTCTACACATAGAAGTTACCTTTGGACTTTACAATCACAAAAGATGCTGAAAATGGTGACCTTTAGCTTCCAGGTATTTATTAGTACAACAAAATACACTTGTGCAAATGTATTTTCAATTTCTTGTCAAAGTGATACCAATGTAGAGAAAATATTGTACTAAAGTAAACAGTGTTATCACAATTTGTTGAAACTATGAAAGACAAATTTTTCCTTTACTGAACTGTTTAAACATATTTTGCCAGATTCTGTATATACAAAATATATTTTCTAATAAATAAAATAATAAACATATGTGAAATACATTATCTAATATAGTAAATATCTCAGAATATGAAATATATTTATAACTGACTGATATATGTAAAATGTCACTTTTTTCCTTATTAATTCTCTGTGTTTACTTCTTGAAAACAAAAAATGCATCCAGTTAATTTGTATGAAATTCAAAATGAAAAATTAGGATTTTTTTATTCAATTGAATCTTTCTATAGAATGAACAAAATGGAAATCTATAGGAATGTATATTTTTCTGAATTAATGAGGCTTTAATCTGATATGAGGCTTTAGTCTGGGGTAAATGAAAAAAACTGTGAATCTTTCTTATTTGTTAGGATTATGAAAATCAGATGAAGCAAATCTCAACTCTTTGCAACTTGTCTTCTGATTAGAAAATTATCTTTTTTTCAAATATAACTCATTTGTTTTCATCTCTTGATTTTCTTTGGACAACAAATAGCATTGTAATTGATTCAATAACATAAGGAATACAAAAATGATTTTATCCAATGCTTTACAACAAATTGATGTCATGTTTTTCAATATTAAAATTCTTCAATCTTATGAACTTTCTGCAGTTTATATTCACTCTCACGTTTGTGGCAAAATTTCAGTTTCTGGAAAATGAAAAAAGCCAAACTTCTGAAGTAGAAAAATTAAAAAAGAAAAAAGCATTCAAGGAAAGTTATATGTCTGGACTTGTGCGAAAATAATCAAGCAAGTAACAGTTTCATGTAGGGTGCAGAATATCATTAATTTTTCTATGTGTCCACAGTTTTATCTCAATGGACCAGTTCAATTTTCTTCTTTCACTTGTTCATCTTTCATCACTCAGACATCCCTGATTGCATTTCTTGTTCATTTTCTCACTAAATAATCTATGGCAGGACACAATAAAGTGAAAGTCACTATGACCATAAAATATAAAAATGGTAGAAAAGACAGAAAGAGTGAAAAAAAAAAAAAAGAATATAGCAGAATTTCTTTTTTCTTTTAGTTGTCCTTTTTTGGGTTTTTTGGGAATAATATTTTATTTGTTCTTTCATTTCCAATGCTATTATTTGTAGTTTTTTTTTCCTGAAAAAAAATTTACTTCTTTCTTTCCTTCTTTCTCTTTTTCCTTCTCTATTAATATTTATTTTTCCTCTTTCTTCACAAACTTTCTCCACTTTCACTCTCTCTTTTATTTTTTACCTTTTGTTTGTTTGCCTTACCTTTGTCTTAACTTTTAATCACTTTTTCCTTTGATACATGTCAGTCTCTGTTCCTCTCTGTACTTTTTACTCTTTCTTTTTCCATGTAGTTCTTCATTTCTCTTATTCTTTCTTTTATTCTCCCATTTTTTCAGTTTCCCATTTAAAATCTTATTTTCTTTATCTTTCTTACCTTTTATATGCAATTATTTTCATTGATACTTATTCTCTTTTCCCTTTGTCTCTATTTTTGTCTTTTCTCATTCTATCATTAACATAATTTTTCTTTTTTCATATCTTACTGTTTCTCTCTTCTCTTTTCTCCATATATTTCTTTTTTCTGACTCTCATTCTCTCTATTTCTCTTTATTTTATTCTTTTTTTTGTCACTTTTCCTTTTACTATTTTTACACTTTTCCTTCCATTTTCTCTACTCACATTTTCTTCTTCTCTCTTTCTTTTTAAATTCCTTTTTCATCTACAATTTCCCCTTTTCCGCTTGCTTTCCTTTGTTGCTTCCATTTTTGTTAATATCTATTTCTTTCTTTAGTTATTTTTTCTTCCTTCCTTTCTTTAGTATATTCATCATCATGACTTCCTTTCTTTTCCGCATTTTCATCATTGTGTCTTTCTTCCTTTCTTTTTTTTCCATTTTTCTTTTTTTCTTTCTTTCATCCAGCATATTCATCACTATGTCTTTCTTTCTTATTTTTCAGCATATTCATCACTGTGTCTTTCTTTCTTTTCTTTTCTTTAATTTTTTCAGCATATTCAACACTGTCTCTCTTTCTTTCATCATATTCATCATTATTTCTATATTTCTTTCTTCACACACATACACTCTCTTCTTCACACATGATAGACTTGTCGCTTTCTTACCCTCCCACCTTTTATAGTGTTTGCCTTTTTTCATTTTTTTTCATTGAGTCTTTTTACTCAACAACATTACCAAACAAATTGGTAAAAAATATCATTTGTAGCTATAATAAAAACAAAATTAACTTAAACCCACAACCTGTCTTACTTGTATATATTAGTGTATTTTATAAATGTATACTTACACCTATATATATATATATATATATATATATAAATTGGCACATACTGCTATATACACACATATATATATATATATATATATATATATATATAGTTGGCCACTTGTATTCGAGCATACTCATCTATTAGAGTGGCTAGCCAACCACTATTGCAGACACTCACTCAGGCATATTTGTGTTTGTTCAACACCCACAGAGCCAACCTGTGGTTTATACTGCAACTATGCTGAGCAGACCTTAGTTACAGTTTCTGTGAAAGAGCATGTTATCTAACATGATCAACGATCTGACCAAGGCCAGCAAAATCAAAGCCTTGGTCACGATGACTGGTGACTTCGTTCTAGCACAGCTACTGACAGCCCCCCTCCCAAGTGTTCCATCTAACCAATTTCACACACAAGGCTTGGGTCAACCCGTGGTATCATTTTCAAGCACTTTCCAAAGGTGCTGCATGCTGGGATCATCCCCCTCCAGACCAATATATCATAATAATAATAAAGATTGAGTGTCATCATTTTACAGTCAAGTCTCCTGATAAGTGGATGTAATCTCTACAAAATGCCAAGTAGGTTAAGATAAGTGAATATATAATTTATTTATTATATATATATATATATATATATATATATATATATATATATATATATATATATATATAATTATTTATATATTATATGCACTCTATTTATTAGAAAGCGCTCAATATCAGAGATAGAGCTAACATATTTGTTTGGATTGATGTGATTTTGTGACCTGGGTTTCACGCTTCACAAACTGTGAAACCCAGGGTCACAAACTCACATCAATCCAAACAAATATATATATAGATGTGTGTGTGTGTATTTATTACTTCAATTGATATTATAATGGACACTTCTTATTTGAAATAGACATACTTTTTTTATTTATTAAACAGAGATTGGCCTGTGCATTTGAGAAATTTAAGTCAAGCAAAAATTATATGAAAATGGCTACACTGTTTATTAATTAAAAATGGGGTGACTATTTCAATTAAGAAGTGTCCCTATAATAATGTTTGAAGTAATGAAAATGAACACTCAAAAATAAATATGTTAATTCTTTAGAAAAATATACATACCTATACATATATAGGTATAGTTTTAAGATTTGTTATATTTTGGGGGTCAAAGTACTCAATAGTATGTCTAGAGCTGTATATAAATATAAAAGTGGACATTGAAGTCATCACCCAGTAACAACAGTCTCAACCTCTATGTTCACTTATATATATATATATATATATATATATATATATATATATATATATATATATATATATATATATATATATATGTAAGGAACATTTTATAAAATAAATGTCCACTTTTATATTTGCATACAGCTCTATCCCTGATATTGAGCACTTTGACCTCTAAATATAGAATATCTTAAAACAATATTTTGATCATATGTATGTATGTATGTCTCTGTATATGTACTTTTGTACCTGCAGGTATATAATGGTAATAAAAATATATATAATATATAATGGTTATAGTAAAAATTAAGTAAATCAATAAGTTCATAAACTAATGGTTAAAAAGCATGTAACTGCTAATTTGCATATATGTGTAGGAGTGTGTGTGTTGATGTATGTGTGAATAAGCTTTCCAGTCAACTTTAATCATCAAAAAATTTAAATGCAATGTCAGTTGCTATCTACTGTCCTCCTGATTACTCTTCTTCTGTGTTCACTCCTTAGTGGTGTTTCTGTTTTCTAATTTTTACACACCCACTAACCCCTTGTGTCTCAATGACTTTAATGCTATGTTTGGGTTAAACTTGATCAAAATAAAAATTATGTAAGGTACTGTTAATACATTTTTTTTATTTTTTTTTTTAATTCGTATCACCCCAAGCAATGCAGTACATCCACTAACAAGCAAGGGGTTTTGAGGTGTGGCATAATGTGGAATAGAAACATTGGTAATGAGGAGAAAGAGAAAAAGGCAATCAGGAGGACAGTAGATAGCAATTGACATTGGATTTAAATTTTGGCAGATTAAAGTTAGCTGGAAAACATGGAGCCAAGATGGAGTTCCACAAGGAAGAAGTGCATGAAAAGAAACTGTCAGCATAGAAGTCATGGTTACATCTAGCTAGCTCCACTGTATATTGATGAGATCTCACTGCCAGTCTTGTATTGCTCTTAAATTTCTACTGTCACGGTACCATAGTGAAGAGCTCATCCAAACAATTACCATGAAAGTATTTATAAAAAAGGCAAAGAGAGGCAACCTTATGGCAGTGGGCAAGTGACTGAAGCCAAGCCACCAGGACCTACTGGTAAGCATGTTAGCAATAAGTGCAAATATAGACATTTCAGCAAAATACTTGTACCCATATATATATATATATATATATATATATATATATATACAGCAAAGCATCAGTTATCCAAACACAGATTAGTTAAATTTTGGCTTATCTGAACAAGATTTAATCTCATGCACAAATCATTTACAAGTGATGGACTTTATTATTTTATTCTTTTTTGGCTGTTGCCATGTCTGTGAGGAGAATTGACCAATCAGATTGTTCTCAGTTGGTTACTTTCAACAAATGGTGTGAAAATAATTCGAACACATAAAAGAATGAGAAATGAAATAAGTGATGAATTAGCAACTCAATGAACTTTATATTTGTAAAATAAAATATTACAGTTTTTAAGCTTTGTCCTGTGTTTTTACACTTGATTGAATGCAATTTTAAACCAGTTGTTTTACATATTTAGTATGGATTCCTTTTTAAGGTTCAGATGAATTATCCAAGCAAAATACCACTGACCTGCATATCTCATTTAGATAACCAACATAAATATATACATATATATAAGAGCATACCTACATAAAAATGCAGTTACACTTGTATAAAAATATATACAAAAGTACATGCATACATACATACATATATATGATAATATAGTTTTAAGGTGTGCTATATTTAGGAGTCAAAGTGCTCAATATCAGGGATAGAGCCATATGCAAATATAAAAGTGTACATTGAGCTCAATATCCAATAACAACAGTCTGTTTCATGTTTAAACACAATCTTCATGGCTTGAAGGTTTCATTTAAGCAGGAAACAGACTAGTTGTCGATCTCAATGTTCACTTTTTATATATATATATATATAATTGTGTATTTAATCACAGTGCCTTATCAGTCATCTTCAATGAAACCCATATATATGATATATATGTATATTTATATATACAGATATTATATATTAATATATATATAAAAATTCTGGTTGATAACACAAGAATTCTATATAAATTACATTGTCAGAATTAGAGGGGCCCTGTATATCAAACATTTCTCTTCTACTATCAACCATACATTATTTATCAGTGCATATGGAGTGAGTGTTGAATTTTTTTAAAAATAGAAAGATTCTCATGCAAATTCCAGCCGCACACAACACATGAATTCTTAAAATTAACACTCCTATTTAAAACAACACAAAGATATATTACAACATAACAGACAAAAAATAAGGAAAAAGTAACAACACCAGAGACAAAGCACCCAAGAAAATGGCTATAGGAGTGGCTGAAAGTTCCTGTGACAATAAAAATTATGGAAATATCTTTGTACTCTCTTACTCCTACAAAACGGAAAAACCTAAGAAACGTGGAAAAATTTTAAAAATTAAATCTTTCTTGTCAGCCATGTTTAAAGAAAGATATTTGAAGGAAATGTTGCTGCCCAAATATATATATATATATATATATGTGTGGGTGTGTGTGTTTGTATTTCTGTGGATACATGCATATGTTTTTGTAAGCCAAAAATATACATTTATACAAATATGAAATTCTCTACTATATATCAATACATATATATATATATAAATAAAAAGAAAGAACAGCAAGATATATAATCCTGTGTTCTTATAGATATTTTTATTTTTACAAAATAGTGCTCAATGTAAATTTACAGAGCATTAATATTATAAATTAATTCGCTTGAGGATAAAATGGAACTAATGTCTTTAATTTAATCACAAAATTAAATTCATGGCTTTCAGCTTCCATTTTTGAAACATGGTTAGAACTGTGTAGCGAAAAAAACATATTTTAAATCAATTAATTTATTATATATATATATATATATATATATATATATATATATATATATATATATGCTGAAAAGTTATCATCCTGCCTAACTTGCCAAAATATGACCAGTTCACAGGTTTTGTTTTATAATGGCATTTTGGTCAGGCTGAGAACTTTTCAGAAACCTTTAATGCACACGCATACACACACATTGTTTAATATTTGATTAATAAAGAAGAGTTAAGTCCATTAACAAAGTATAAGACTGTTGAATATTTATTGTACAAAATAAATTCTTTTTAACCATTAAGTTATGAACTTACTGATTTACTTAATTTACTATTACCATTTATATATATATATATATATATATATATAAAAATATAAAGGTGAACATTATAGGTCAACACTCAGGCTGACTGACGTTTCTGCCTAGCATGAAATCATGCCTGTCTGCCTGAGTGTTGACTACAATGTTCACTTTTATATTTACATATGCTCTATCTCTGATATTGGGCACTTTATCCCATAAATATAGCACACCTTAAGACTATATTTTTATATATATATATATATATATATATATATACACACACAGTAATTCTACAAATATATATATATATATATATATAGTAAGATACTATATATATATATATATATATATATATATATATATATATATATATAGAGAGAGAGAGTGTAATATATATATATATATATGTATGTATGTATTATAATGTATATATATATATAT